CCCTCATCTGTATCAATGCAATATACATCATTCTTCCCCTCCTTTTCTGTCTTCCCTCAACCCTGATGTTGGTCCTGTTTTACAACAGTGGCCCTATGCAATATTTGTCCTTATGTGACCGAGATATTTCACTCAGCGTAATATCCTCCAAGGTCATCCACTTAGTGTAGTACTTCATGAGTTCTTGTTCTTCAGTGCTGCATAGTATTTCATTGTGTGAATATACCAGAGCTTCTCTAGCCATTCATTTGTTGATGGGCACTTTGATTGTTTCCAGCTCTTTTCTATTGCGAACAAAGCCTCAATAAACATGGGTGTGCATATGTCTGTTTGGGTGGCAGGTATGGTTTCTTAAGGGTAAATACCAGTAGTGGAATTGCTGGGTCAAATGGTATTTCTATTTGCAATCTTTTTTTTAAATTAGACACTCTTTTTTAATTTTTTAAAAATGTTATTATTTTTAGTGTGTGTACCGTCAAATTGGACCTGACTGGTACAGGAGATTGCCCCTCCTTCTCCAGCAGAGCATCTGGTGGATTTGAACTGTGTGCCTTCAGGGTTGCAGTGCAGCTTCTTCCCACTAGTCCACCAGAGCTCCCTTATTTGCAACTTTTTGAGAAAGTGTCATACAGCCTTCTATAGTGGTTGCACCAGAAGCTACAAATTTTGCTATATCTTGATTTTTGAGTTGTAATGCTTACCAGTTCTACAGGACAGATTATAACCACCATATAAGGTTTCCTATAATCATTTTAGAAGCAAATTACCAGGTCTCTTCTCCATAAATAAGCTCTGATGCCTTAATGAATTATTTGTTATACTGCTAACCAAAAAGCAGGCAATTCAAATCTACCAGATGCAGCAGAAAGGTGGACAGTCTCCTCCTATAAAAATCTGTATCCTCAGAAACCCAGTAGAGGGTCATCATGAACAGGACAGCAGTGAGGTTCAACTTTTCTCCCACAAAGCAGATACTTAGTTCACATCCTAATTTTTCAGTTAGTAGCAAATGTTGAACCAGTAGGCTACCAGACTCTTTTTCAACAATAATAACTCTACCTAAAACTGAAACACAGTTCATTTGACATGGCTTATCCTTGGGACCTGTTAAGACTTGTCTTTATTTTCAAATTCTTATGAACTATGATAAAGTTTTTATGAACATACCATCCATCTATTTTGGACCTTCTGTTCTTGTTATAGCTAAAAAAAATATTATCTCGTATAAATCTCATAGAATAGAATAAAATCTCAATCTAGGTATTTAAATGTCAGTTACTTCCTACACATCAATTTCTCTTTCCCCAGTTAAAGCCATCACATAACACCACTTTTCAGGACAAAGCTGTTCTGTACAAAGAACTGAGTCACAGACTCAACTAAGCAGCAGGAAATAGCAGCTGACATATCATGTAAACAACTTCCAATGATCTACACGTCACAAATGAGACAAAATGGTTTTTCTAACAATTCCCAAAATAAAAAAAAAAAGATTAGAATTACTAATTAGAAGATCAGAAAACTAGCCAAGAATAATAGGTGCATAGCATAGTGGAGCCAGGGGGCGAAGGGATTGTGCAATAATGAAAGAATCTTTTTAAAGAGAAAAGTGAACTGGGGGCGGGGTTAGGGAGAAAAATGTACAACAATGAATGAATGGAACGCCAAGCTTTCTGTAAACTTTCGTTAATATATCAATAAAATTTAAAATAAAAAGATCAGAGAACCAAGATAAAAAGAAATCTGTCCACCTACAGTAGCACCCTTTTTGCTAAATCACAAGACATACAGTTTTCTTTTTTTTTTTTTAAATTTAATTTAGTTTGCTTATTTTTCATTTCAATGAACATCTACAGAGATTTTGGAATTCCATTCATTCATTGTTGCACCCTTCTCCCCACACATCCCCCCACCTCCCACCCAGTTTGCTCCTCTCCTTGAAAAGCAAAAGAAAAACTCCCTCATTGGTACACAATCCCCCCGCACCTCATCAAACCCCACCCCCAACCCCCAAATATAATCCACTCTGCAACCCTCATTGCGTACTCCTACGATAAACATAATGCCCTAAAATATAATACTTTTAGACTATTCTCTCCCCCATAGACTTCAATGCCATAAACATATTTCATCCAGTTTTTCTCAGTCTTACC